GTTTTTTATAAATTTTATTTCTTCTAAATGACAATTTGTGCAATGTAACAAAAGACTCTCCATCCCTCGTTACAAGCGTAAAGTCTGTAACAAGGCCAAAACTTGTCCTTCCATTTTGAAATTCATTTAGTAGTTGTTACTAGCATATATAATTATAAAATTCAAATAACGAAGCAGGCGCACCTTATTAAGGTCAAAAGTTGCAAACTCCAATAAAATCAGTAACAACATGTATTGCTCATAAGACAATTAAATAGAATTATTTAAAATGTAGGTCAACAAGACAATTATCATAGTTTCTGTAATCATTACACGGTTTTACATCAAATATATATAATAGCTGCATTGAGGATTGTCAACAGTAGGTGAACTGTAAGATTTAACTGTCATTTGATACTACTTATTGAAGATTTTACAAACACTAAATTTCAGCTATATATTTACAGGAGTAGCCATAAATATTGCAAATATAAGTACGTTTATTTTCTATTCATAGCAATAACAAACGTGTTCATTTGTCGATTACATTTATTTAATAGAATGCATGTAAAATGGGTAGATCAAAAAAAATATATATACATATTTCTCTAATTCTTAGGCAATTTAACCTTTTCTGGACCCGAGGCTCGGACTTCAAAATTCAATAATTTAACTATCTCGATTGGATAATCCGATAATCCACTGGTACCAATGTAAGAATCTATATATACTATCATATAGTTATAATCAATCCATAGATTTTTGCTGAAAAAAATATATTTGTTTTTATGAATACATCTACGTTTAATTGTTAATCTGCTGGTGGACTATCAGTCCCCGAGGGTATCATCAGCTCAGTAGTCAGTATTTAGGTACTGACATGATTTAACAAACTTTACTAAAATTGTCCGTTTATAAATTTTGAAATTAGTAAGAAATTAAGGTTTCAACTCCCTCAGGCAAAGTTGACTTTAGATGAATTTGGCTATTTATTTTAGGTATTTCTGTCATATAGCTCTTCAACGGTTTCGGTACTTATACATCTTCGGATTTCAAATGTTTGGCTTTGAGCGTTCCTGATGAAGGTAAATCCAGAAAAGCGCTTCGGACGCATAGAATTATTAAACGTGTTGTTTTAAATTTTTTAATTCAGTATCGAATTTTTATGTTTTCATTGGGATGTAAAAGCGTTGACCGAAGCTCATTTTCTATGAAGCACATAAGCGCTTTATTCTAAACATTTGCTAAGTATCAACGCTTTTAAAACCCTATAACATTAATAAAATATGCATTAAAGTTCTTATAATTACATGTTTATGCCACAACCATTAAATTAAGATTGATATTAAGGTTTTCGTTTGTTTTTCTATGCATTGTTTCAACATTGCCACGTATAGCAGCGGTACCAATGTAAGAATCTATATATACTATCATATATTTATAATCAATCCATAGATTTTTGCTAAAAAAATTTTATCTGTTTTTATGAATACATCTACGTTTAATTAAGTATCGAATAGTTCTTTTTATATTTTATTGGGGTGTAAAAGCGTTGACCGAAGTGCATTTTCTATGAAGCACATAAGCGCTTTATTCTAAACATTTGCTCAGTATCAACGCTTTCAAAACCCTATAACATTAATAAAATATGCATTAAAGTTCTTATAATTACATTTTTATGCCACAACAATTAAATTAAGATTGATATTAAGGTTTTCGTTTGTTTTTCTATGCATTGTTTCAACATTGTCACGGATAGCACGTGCAGTCATTGCTGTTGTATTTTAAACGGAAATACAATTTGTTGTCAGCAAATCAGAATTACGGATTCTAATATAATTTAACGTTGGGCCCTCGTTGGCCAAGTGGTCTAAGTAGTCGAACTACTGTATCACTTGCCAGTCAACGCTGAGGTTGCGAGTTCGAATCCCACACGGGGCAGGTGCACTTGACTCCAATCTTAATTGACTAGGATTGTCAGTTTTCCTACCGAGGGTCGGTGGTTTTCTCCGGGCACTCCGTCTTCCTCAACCAATAAAAACTGACTGCCACGAAATAGCACAATAGTGATGAAAGTTACGTTAAACACCAATCAATCGATTAATCAATCAATCAATATAATATAACTTACACGAAATAACAGCAATTAATGCGTTGTTCCTTTGCTTTTGTGTGTTTTTTGCTGTGCATGTACTGATTTTGTGGATTTTGAGTCATGCATGGATACCCCTTATCCGTTGTTTTTCTATGTAATGATATTTTTTGATATTAAAAATAGTTAAACTAGTTTTTGATGCATTTATCATTTTGTTACTACGTTCTTAGTGTAAAAACTATATAAAAATAATGTTCACGCTTTACAGCCCTACAACCTCACGCTTATTACAATTATTTGTTTTCAATTAGAATCCATGAGCTGTAAAACATTGTATGCAAAATCTTTTCTGTCCCTTGCTCTTCAAAGTTAATACCGGACAACAGATATTAAAAAGATTTGTGAAAGGCTGAAATTTTATAAGGTTACAAGACCAATACTTCACTGAAAGTTTTAAGAGCGGTATACTTCTTTATATCAAAACATACCAAAAGATAAGGTATCACCATCCCAGTAGTCAGCACTTTTTATGTTGACATGAATTTCATTGATATGGTCATAATTATAAATTAACTGTTTACAAACCTTTCGAAGTACTTAGGATTTTCTATCCCCAGGAATAGATTACCTTAGCTGTAGTTTCGGATTTAAGGTCCCAAATGATCTTCAAATTCGTACATTATTTAGCCTATTTAACTTTTTGTATTCGATCGTCACTGATAAGTCTTTTGTAGACAAAACACGTGTCTGACGTGCACAATTTTAAGCCTAGTATCTAAGATGAGTTTATTTCCAACCACTTTGTCAATGACACTGATTTTGGAGCTTTTCTCTTCCATGCTATCACCATCCTAGAAGTCGGCATTTCGGTGGTGACATGAATTATCGCTGATATGGTCATAATTATAAATTAACTGTTTATAAAACTTTGAATTTGTTGAAATACCAAGGATTGTTCAGCCCAGGAATAGATACCATAAGCTTTCGGAATTTAGGGTTCACAATGATCTTCAAATTTGAAGTTTATTTTGGCCTATTTATCTGATTTGAACGTCGCTGGTGATTCTTTTGCAGACGAAAGGCGCGTTGAATTTTAAGTCTGGTATCTATGATGAGTTTATAACTCCATATGACAAACAAGTAAAAATTTGGCACTGCAAAATAATGCTCCCTAAACTGAGAGAAACATTTTTATTTCAAGGTTTTAAAATACTAGTATGCTGGAAGACAAATAAACATGTGTGTCTTTTAATGTTGTACTGTTGCAATACTGTCTCAGTTTAGGGTGAAAGTTGACGCCTGTTAAAACGTTTAAACCCGCTGCATTTTTATGTACCTGTCCTAAGTCAGGAGCCTGTTGTTCAGTGGTTGTCGTTTGTTGGTGTGGTTCATAGGTGTTTCTCGTTTCTCGTTTTATATATATATCTTACCATTAATTTTCCATTTGAGATTGTTTTACACGGGTCATTTTGGGACCGTTTAAAGCTTGCTGTTCGATGTGAGCCACGGCTCCGTATTGCAGGCCGTACTTTGACCTATAATTGTTAACATTTTATACATTGTGACTTTGATGGAGAGTTGTTTCATTGGCATTCATACCACATCTTCTTATTTATGTACTTTAATTGCTCATTTTTCACCTGTATGAATATTGTAAAAATTCATAGTTTGATACCATCGCGTAATCAACTTTTTTATTTAATTACAGTGACCCTGATCTTGGACATGTGTTGATCCAAAAATCAATAGGCTTTTTTTCTATTCCCTATAGCTTCCGTCTGTGTTAGTTTAATTCCAATTATGAAAGAGAAATTCAAATTACCATCTGGAAAACATTTTTTCATTTTTTTTATATAAAGTAACAATGACCTTAACCTTTGACTATTGACCAAACAAAATCGAAAGTCTTCTTTCCACTTCCATCTATATAAGTGTCATTCCAATAAAGCAAGGGAAACTTAAGTTACCAGTCGGAGTTTTTCCAAGCACAATTCTGTTTTACTAACAAGCCCCAACAGCAATTGGTTTCTTTTTCTGTCTTTTATTTTCTATCTGTTAAGGTTTCATTAAAATCAAGCAAAGGATACTCAAGTTATCAAAACCGTTTGTTTCGAACACTCGGACGGAAGGGACAAACGGACAGCAATGCGCTTATTATATGGTACCGAATGTTTATATGGGGGGAAAACTAACCTCTTTTTTTCTAAGAAGATTGGAAACAAAGAAAAAAAATCTATTTGTTCTCAGTTCAGATATAAATATTGTGATTAAGTTGAATTACATCAGCTTAGTAGTCAGTGCGTGAATACTGACATGATTTATAACATGATATAGCATTATAACATGTTTTCGTGGTAAATCTCCTAACGTTTCAATGTATTTATACGTCCCTGGCTTCCATATGCTTAGGTTTGAGCGTTCATGAATAAGATAAATCCATATAGCGCTTCGGACGTACGAAATGTATAAAGTATTATTTTTATAACTAAGTCATTAGTATGAATTCCAATGAATAAATAAATAAAGGCAACAGCAGTATACCGCTGTTCAATAGTCATAATTTGATAAAGCAAAAACAAATAAGGGTAACAAACTTAAACCAAGGGAACACATCGTATAACGTAAAGCATGGCGAATATTGAATTTTAAATCCATTATTGTAAAATGGGGATATTTTTTTTAAATCATTATATACTCAGGGGAAAAATCTTAACAATAATAAAAACAGCCCGATATCCCTGTCTGAGTACCTCTCATAAAAACGAGAATAACAGAATAGTCCTTACTTGTTATCCTTAATATCAACAAACACAAACTTATATCACACGATACAAAAGCCTGTTTTTTTTACATGTGACGTTAAATTTAAGGGCTGTTCAATACCCTTTTTTCGAAACTTTACATATCAAATAAATGAAAAGACAAGAACATTATATAATTTTTATTTTGTACAAACGGTACAAAGCACTTCTGTATTATCTTTGTATGGGGGACATCTCAGACTACCACATTTTGCTCTCATAGGATAACACAAAACACCGTCATCGTTGGATGATCGATTGTCCAAAGGCTCTGCATCTCCGTCCATACAGATATACTCCATACTGTTATAACTCTTAGATTGACTCACCAAGAAGCCACTATACTCGGATTTCCATCCTGTGTAACAGGACTTTCTTCCTAGGATAAGGCAAAGAAAAAAAAAAGACTAAATACAAATTATATAAGTTTATACGAAAGAAATGGCATCACATTTAATGTAAGCTCTATACTTTAAATTGCGATAATAAAGAACAATGAACTTATTCGAGGCCTTTGACTTCAAAATTAATTTATCTTGAACCTTAAAAGTAGCAATATTATGCAACAAAAAGGTTTACAATGTGCTTATTGTTTGAGGATATATTTCAGAAAAAAATTATGTACAAAATACATACCTGGAATCATTAAAATAGAAACCTTTCCTTTCCGCCTACACACAGCACACGGGACCTCCTTATTGTGTAAACTTCCTGATAAACCTGGTGGTTTACTTCTTGAATCTATCTCATATTCGGCACCATATAGTCCATCATTATCATAGGAGTTTGCTCTACCATTTTCAGGATCACTGGGTAAACAGAGGTAGTTTGAACCTCCTCCTTTGTTAGTGTAAAAGTTACCTCCAGCCTGTCCTGTATAGATATACAGGACATATGATTACACATATAATTATTCATATCATATACTTGTACATAACAATGACAAATATATTGCAAACCAAAATTATAGGTAGTAAAATCATGAACATATTAAAAAAGAATCAAGTTTGAATATTTCAACTTATATGCAAAAATATCATCTGTAACATTTCCTGCCACCTTTAAAATAAGCAATTGATTAACTAAGAAGTGTTTATCATATTAAAAAATGCGCATTACATTTTAGAAAAATGAATTATTCGGATAAATAGCAATTATTTTACATTTTTTGCACGAGCTGGCCTTTCACAGTTTTAACCTTAAGGATTTGTACAAATGCAGGATTTGAATTTAAGCGCTTTCTATGTATTCAGAATACAGCAATTGCGTTAGCGTTTTGAATCGTTGGAACAAACGCTGAAAATAAAATATGATTCAAGTATGCATTTTGCATGCATTGTAAAATGAAAACATGTTAGTTAGCTTTAAAACTTGAATTGTTGGGAAAACATAACAAACAATGCAAATCACTTCGGACCAAATTGAAGTTTATTGAACGCTCGGTCATCCCCTTAATAGCCCTTAGTGCTATGAATTATTTATAGATTCTTTTTAAAAAGGTTACTAAGATGAAATAACCAGACACGGACATCCATCCATCCATCCATCCATCCATCCATCCATCCATCCATCTATCTATCCCATCAATCCTTACATCAATACCAAACATGAAATAGGAAAGATGCAAATGCTTACGTTTACGCCATATTCGAGAGAGGATTTCATAAGAGTAGTGTTCCCTTTCTTTGTTACGCGAGCATTAGAGTAGTAAATGTTTTACTCTCAAAATTATCTTTTTCCATAAGATTTAAATCCTTATCCGAACCCCAATCATATAATAATTCAAAATTCAACAAAAATCGGAAATATACTGTTTGAACACAATTTTAATATATCTAAAATGATGTAATGATAAATAAAAAACATGCCTGTATACACAATTTCCGAATTTCCAGGACAAGTTTTCTTTCCCCATCTGACATATGTCACACCAATATCTTAAATATACACAGCATAGTGTTAATGTATACTATGAAGCCGTTATACAGTTTACCTAGTTATAGGATAAATAACAAAACAGCTTAATCCGAAGTATCCAATATATTGGTTAAAATACCTGACGGCATTCCTTTAACATGTTTTTCACTGGCTATGATTTAACGCAGATACAGTCTGTAAAAAACCTTTTAGTGTGGATTAAAATAATCACTTAAACAATCATTTTTATTAATAAAAGGAAATTTTTTTTGCATAAAAATCTATAGAAATAAAATAAAACCAAAGTTGTTATGTTATCACACCCCACGGTCTTACGTCTTTACATGCCAGTAAAGTCGTTTGATCCGTTGTTTCATCGATTGTGTTCTATTGCCGATTATGACATTTGGACTGATTGTGGCTTAAAATGGCTGGTGATACAAGCATAGCAGGAGACGTTTAATTTGTCGACGAATCCGGTCTCTCTTCTTTCGGATATCTCAGTTTATGTTTGTTAGCTTGATTTGTCTCTTCTTAATTGATTTACGATATTTGAACATTAGATAACTACTGTCTCATTATATTTACAAATAGATTGTTATTTCGTGCGATCACAAAGACAAATTGAATGCCGTATTTGTACTGATAGCAAAGCCTTACCCTGTTGCGAAGTTGTTACAGAACAGTCCGCCTTCCGGGAAGTATGCAAGTAATGCTTCATCATATCAATAAGAGACTGGTCTGATGGTGTCAGACTGTATTCTCTACAGTCATGTCCATAAGCACCGACTGCAAAGGCAACAATGACGGTGGCAAAATTGAATGTTGGCATTCTGAAAATCATATACAAGTAATAAAAAAAAATACATAAGAAATCAAAATAACGGTACTAAGAACAAAGTAACATATTTCAAAAGTACATATTTTTTTTACCTTTATGACTTCCAGGAATTCGTCTATGCGTTAATGCAGTATCTTCATTATATCTTATATAATGGATTGATCAATATTTCTTAATTTTGAAATAGCGTGTAGAATACCTACGATAGCGTAACAATATATTTTGACATTTCAAATGAAATTAAATTTCACTTTGTTTTATTGAATTTAAGGAAAGTATAGTTTTTTAGATTATCTCATACAATAGCTTTGTAATGTATGGTATTGCTTCGTCAACTGTTTTTTACCGTGCATTTTATCGCAGAACCTTCACATTCTAGTATTTGTAAAATGGCATTGAATATAAGTTATACAGAACATATATAACTTGCTATACAGTATGTATGGTGATCTTTAGTTGTTGAAAGTAGTCATATTAGAAAAACAAAGGATACGGTGTATCCATCCTTGACACAAAATCAGTACAGCACAGCAAAAAAACATACAAAAAGTAAAGAAACAGCGCTTGTATTGCTGTTCTATATCTCAAAGTCACAGTGAGGCCTTCAACACGAAGCTGAAAAAACTCCCACCTCACTGCAAGTTTAAGACGGCTCCTAGCACCGGTTTGAGCGGAATACTATGCAGTATTATTATCATAAACTTTGTAAGATGTATCACCACCAAATCGGACCCTGTCAAAACAGAACATTCTGGAGAGTAGTACATATTTAAAACAAAATAAGTCAGTTGGTCTCTAGAGGATAGTTATTTCATTGTCAAACATAAATGTACCACATCTTCTAGTTAAATAATGTTACCAAATTAAAGGAATGCATCCTGAATTCTACAACACGCTCTCTTCCTTAAAACCATCTCTGTATCAAAAGTAATAGAAATTAAATGTGTATATGTTACACGATACACCTTTCGTACCTTTGCATATATTCATTTTTATATATTCTCTTATCTTCGGGAATTATTTTTGAAACTTCATACAGATTTATAAAAACGAACATTCGTGAAATACTTGGAATACAACCAATGTTCTATTACCTTTTATTGTAGGACTCATTGGACTGTTCTGACCAAAAATATCCTTATCTAGCTATTCTCTGAGTGAACATAAAGAAATACTATTTGAATCATCAATGCATGGCGTAAATTTTAGACTACTTGATCTAAATTTTCTGTCAATTGCAGATATTTTTAATAGCGTATATGAGATTTTTTTCGCGAACGGTTTTGATTGCGGTTTGGGCCTAAGATTTGATAGTTAAATGTTCGTTTTGTTTATAATTCGCGATTTACGTCCTTGTAAAATGATATTGAATGAAAAGTGAACTTTTCGCGTGTGGTATATTGTTGCATTGAAATGTCTACGGTGAAAAAAGTGAAAATTTGACACATGCAAAAATTAAACGATATCCGATAGTTTCACATTTTGTCATTCCGGGGACTTTTATAGCCTACTATACAGTTCGGGTTTCAGTCATGGTTGAAGGATGTACAGTGGTCTCTGATGGATAGGTCTTTAATTGGCCATCATACCACACCTCCTTATTTTTTTTACATTTATTTACATTTGATCTGCTAATGATTAGTATGTACAATTTGAGTTAAAAAAAATAAAAAATAAACAAGAGATGCAGTATTCCGCTGGTTAAAATGTTTTCAAAACTTTAATTACAAAAGTGTTAATATTATGATATGGCACATCTCTGCTCATGAAAATGACATTTAGATCTAACCTTCTACAACTATTGACGAGGTTCCCGACTTGGAATAGGCACATGCACATGTGACAGGGTTTATATATTTTTTTTGTGATTGCACCCCTTCTGCTTTTAATATCGATCAGTGAAACAAGAAAAGGCACATTGTAGAACAAACGTACGAATCTGTACAACAAAAGACTTCACTTTATAATAAGGGTATATTAGATAACATAATTATATGTACAACAGAAATTATATGTCGTTTCAAAGTTTTGCTCACAGCTATTTTAGCAAGCTCAATTATCTAAAAAAAAAAATGGGTTCAACACTCTGCTATAGGTGGCTGTATTTCATAAAAACGTCATAAATAGTACAGGTATGATATGCCTTGAACAAACATTAAATGCAGAATAAAAAAAGAGACAGTTGTATATAGATTTAACCTATAGTTGTACAATGAAGTCTATGGGAATGCGACCAGAGTATAAATCTCAATAACCGTAAATTATACGTGTTGCTTAGTCTTTAGTTTTCTATGTTGTGTCATCTGTACTATTATTTGTCTGTTTGTCTTTTTATTTTTGGCCATGGCGTTGTCAGTTTGTTTTCGATCTATGAGTTTGACTGTCCCTCTGGTATCTTTCGTCCCTCTTTTATACCATAGCTATGTATTGTATAATTTTCACGATTATACCATAGTTTTGTTATATCTGAACTTCAGAAAAAAAAGAAGGAAGAAAGCAAGACTGGGAGACTTAGCAGCGGTCAACTGATTCAGACAGAGTCGTCACAGGGCCACTAAGCCAATCTGCCCGCTTTGCACCAGGCGATATAAATAAATGCCTGGGGGTGGAAATCGAAACCAACTTACACCAACTCTGTTGTCCTAGATATACAAATAAACAAAAGTTCGCCCCAACAACAAATAAGACAAATTGAAATTATATATATGTATATATATATATATATAAACAAGTCTAAATTGAAAACAACGTTCTATCCTATGATTGCGTTGGATAAAAACCGCAATTTTTATACGTGTGCATGCAAAACAAATTTCTTGGTAGAGGGGTCTAAATACAGCACAAACAACATTTTCCAAAGACCAAATGAGTGAAAAAGTATATTTTAACAAAACGCATTTGACTAGCAGGTCGAACAACTGATGTTCTTAAACCCTGCTGACTGCCATTGGCGATTGCCAAATAAACGGATCACCGATGTAATAAATGGATCTCAATTATAAATTGAATACTAAACAGAAAACAATAAACTTGCGGAAAAGATGGTATACCGCAAACAAAAGGTGCAAAGGTTTTTGTACACCATATCCGGATTTCGACAATTAATGTCTCTTCAGTGATGTTAGGAATCGAAACGGTATTTGGAAGGCCATATAATTTACCTCAATTTAGGATAGACTCTTGAATTTTGAAAGAGTCAAAATAGGATGAACGGATCATACAAACCCGAAGGCAAATATAATACAAGCCCAAACGAAAAAAATATAAACAAGTCTTAATTGAAAACAACGTTCTATCCTATGATTGCGTTGGATGAAAACCGCAATTTTTATACGTGTGCATGCAAAACAAATTTCTTGGTAGAGGGGTCTAAATACAGCACAAACAACATTTTCCAAAAGACCAAATGAGTGAAAAAGTATATTTTAACAAAACGCATTTGACTAGCAGGTCGAACAACTGATGTTCTTAAACCCTGCTGACTGCCATTGGCGATTGCCAAATAAACGGATCACCTATGTAATAAATGGATCTCAATTATAGATTGAATACTAAACAGAAAACAATAAACTTGCGGAAAAGATGGTATATATATATTAAATTGAAAAAATAATTAACTAGGCCAAATAAGTTATCAATGTGTTAAATGTAATATTAATATATGTACTGAAATTGTTTACCTCGGATAGGTTGATAGCCTAAGATTTATACTCCGGGTTCATTACCATAGGCTTCAATCATGATTGTAAAGCTAAAGTGTAGGTATAAAAATTGTAATACACTGCTGACATCTCGACTTTAAGGAAGTTGCTTTAGAAAGTAATAATTATAATTTAGACCTAGATAGGATCTGGTTACCGAAAACGAAGCTTAAGTTTTCAGGCCTATTTACGCAGCATGTTTTTTTTAATAGTGACCATTTTGGAAACCCTTTTATATCAATTTACGGTTTTGGCTTTTATTCGGGATATGATTCATTCAAAATCTTAGATTGATTCCTGTGAATCATTATTTAAAGATAAAAATATTTTGAACATCATAATTTTGACTAATAAAAAAACTACTTAGTTTTTGAAACTAACCTTTTGATCTTTGAGTCCAAAACTCTTCAAAATCTCAGAAATCTGTTGTCTTTCGTCCATGACATATATGCCTACTCCTGAATCTCTTTCGCAGCATGTCCTACCGATAAAGAGATAAGTGATTTCGGCTAACGTCAATGTCTTCAATTCAAAGCATATTCAGAACAATTTATTCTTGTAACATGTTTTCGTCAGTAACGTTATTCGGCGTCATTACAAATGCGTCAATCGCTGTCGAAGAATTTTGTCTAACTGATATACCCTATGTTCAAGTAGAAGAATGCTAAGATATTTATTGCATTGTATTTTGTTTTTTCATAAACAACATTGTCCCACCCAAAAAAAATCGTTCAAACAAGTAATTGAACAGTAAATTAAGAGTTAATAAAAATATGTTTACTTGGGTCTTCTTCCGACTAGCCGTAAAACCCTTGCCAAAGTGGGACGTCCGTTTGGCAGTGCGGGATGTACAAGTACGCAGCAACGCCCGGTCAGAATAAGGACGTTAAATCCGATGCCTAGAGCAAAGAGAGTGCCACGCTTTTTGCATGTCAAGTACTCTTGCAAAAACTTGTTGAGGAGTACGTAGGTTGCCTGTTGCAAGGCAAAATTCCTGTCCCTGTTCAATATACTCTTATTTTCGATTGGCAGTCCAAATTTCCCCGACCTTTATCCTGGACGGCCTCAATTACAGTACTTACCTAAAGCTATTGTATTTATTCGTACTGAAAATGCATGAAATATTTACCACTGGGCGTTAAGCAACTAACAATCAATCAATCTATCTCCTTGTAAACATATTGATGATTACCTTTTTTTCTCTTTAAAATTTTCCCGGGTTATTAACATTATCTGAGTCAATATACCAGTGGACATTACAAGCTAAAAAATTTCGCTTCAAAAGATTATCATTTAATTGTTCAAAGCGGGACTTAATCAAAGATATGAAATTTTGACTGATATGTTAGTAATGAGTAAGACTACAAGAATAAGAATGACATAAGGGCAATGTAAACAAAAAACTATCTATTTACACTGGTTAGAGTTTCTTATCAC